GTAAGAAGATGATGTAGGAAGTAGCGTTAGCGATAATTTTTTATTTCTTAACCTAACAAGAAATTTTCTGTTGATTAATTTTTTTTCCTTGATTCCTTTATACACCCTTCTTATCCTATTTTTTAATATCTGAAATCAAATCGTCCTTGTTTAGTTGCAAATTACCAGAAATTCAACATAACCCTTATTTTGTAGTGCTTTTTGAAATTCTGAACTAATACCAGGAAAATATTGTGCTAAGTCAAACAAGATAAAATTATGAAATAACCTTTTCATTACTAAACCCCTTTTTAAACGAGATAGGTTTTTGATTTGTTAGAAGATTAGGATTTATATTCCATTTTTTTTTTACCTCCTTTGTCAAGTCAAAAGCATATTATACATATTAAAATTAGAAAAATCATGAGAAATTATCATTTTATCAATTTCTCTAAAGAATCAAATCTTAATCAATAAGGTGAAAAGCAGACTCCATTATCAACTAAACCACAACTCTTTGGGTATTAGAATTCCTTAACCTAGCTGCAAGATTGGGTTTTAAAGATTTATAATGTTTTAGTTTGGCTATGTTGGCTTGACAGGCTTGGAGAATTTAGCAAAATCCTTGGTCTTTATGGGTGTGAGTACTTAAAAGCTTATATTTTAAGGACACATCCTTCTTCAATGCTAGGAATGGCAGTAACCCATCTTAAGCATGGTAAAGGGTGGAGATACCCTTCAACTTGGAGCACGATGGAATGTGGGTGATGGAAGATAGATTTTGATTTATGAAGATGGATGGGTTCCAACTTTGCCACAATTTAAGGTGTATTCTGCCCTTAATGCCGAATCTTTATATAATTATGATTTTGATGTCCATAATGAGAAGGGAAATTGGGATATTCATAAGTTGAATAATTGTTTCACATATGAGGAATGTAGGAAAATTTTTGAAAATTCCTATAGGGGCTGTTCAAATGATATTGTCTAGCATTGTAACAAGTGTGGAGAATTCATGGTCAAAAGTGCTTATTTTCTTATAAATATGTTCATGGATCTCATGTTTTCGAAGGTAATAGCTCTACTTCTTCTATAGAATGGAAGCACCTTTGGAAGCTTAAATTACACCTTAAGATTAAGGTTTTCCTATGGAGAGCCATCCTTAATAGATTACCTATTTTAGATAATTTAATAGCAAAAGGGGTTGTGAACAATACTTTTTGTTAG